ACACACATATACATATCTAAAAGAGCTGTTAGCCAAATCCTGCACGCCTTGGAATATTCCTCATAAATCAAACCCCAAGCAGAGATTCGAGGCCCGATTCTGCATCACAGGAATGAATCAGAGCTTTGCAAAACCTCAGTTGGCAAACAGCACGGGAAGATTAACGGCAGGGGGACACACATATACATATCTAAAAGAGCTGTTAGCCAAATCCTGCACGCCTTGGAATATTCCTCATAAATCAAACCCCAAGCAGAGATTCGAGGCCCGATTCTGCATCACAGGAATGAATCAGAGCTTTGCAAAACCTCAGTTGGCAAACAGCACGGGAAGATTAACGGCAGGGGGGTGTAAGCCCAGCAGTAAACTCGACAAACCTTGCAGGGAGCGGAGGATCAGCTTTTCCAGCCACTAACCAGGAAGATCTGTGGTAGGCATATCGATATCTTTTATTGTCCACAGGAACGATATCCATTAACACGATGTATTTGGCTTCAGGATCCACCCCCGAGAAGGAAACTCTGATCGTAGGAAACATTCTCCTGAAGGGAAAAAAATAGAAAAGAAAAAGGCAAATCAGGAAATAAATAGGCGGATGGAGAGCAGAAATGAAAGAGCTCCTAAAAAGTTGCTAAAAGGGAGAATTCTATTTAAACCCTGTGGAAAAAAAAAAATCAAAAATAAAAATTAAAGCATCTATTGATTCTGCTTTAGCAGGATACAAGTTAAATCCCGGGTATCTTTAATAGGCATTTGTATTATTATCTTTAAAAAAAAAAATATATGTTTAATATCTTTCTTTTTCGGCTTTAAAAACCGGGGAAGCAAAAGGAAAAAAAAAGTCAAAATGGAAAAGTAAAAGAGAAACGCACTTTCCCCCGTTATTTAAAAGCACACAACAATTTCACAAAATAGTTATACTTAAATCCTTAGAAACATGGATTTTTTCCCCACCATGAAATCCATGCTAACGTTAGAGAAATAATGCAGAAATTATTTCCGTTAATATTCTCATTTATTTTAGACGCATATTCTTTAAAGCCTCCTCGCGATAGTTCTGGGAGGAATTTTCAAAACTAAATTTTTTCCTTTCTTCATTTAAATTTTGACAAAAAACACCTTTAAAACGTAAGGTTTTGCCGTAGACTAGAAATAAATAACTTTAAGCCGTTTAAAATATGTTGAATTTCAAAATGCAGATTTTATACGTGGGGGTTTAAAATTTATTTAAAAAAAAAAAATGCGTGTTGATAGAGCTCACCAGTTAGAAAAATTATTGCCAAAAAAACTACATTAATAACGAGTAACTTTGGGGGTTACAAAACCCGACTGCGTCTGACTGACCCAAACCCCAGAAGCTTTACTGAAGAAAAACTTGGTCCGAGGTGATGAGAAAAATCTGGAATTTTTTTTGCACATTTTTGCCACGGAGAAAAAAAAAAAATAATAATCAAACCACGCCAAGCTCTGATTAAATTTATATCCCCACGACGCCGAATTTCCGATTTTTTAGGGAAATATTTCTGTCCAGCCACCCTCCCCCTTCCCTTAACCCATCCGCGCTGCTCTCCCAAAATAAAACCGGTGAGATTTGGGTCGGTTTGCTTTTTTTTCCCCACCACCCTTCCACTTTTAGGAAGCTGCCCAACCTTACCTCCCGGATTTGGTGATGATCATCTCGGTACCCAGTTCGTGAAACTTGTCCCAGAGCTCTTTGGTCTCCAGGCTGCAGGAGATTTTGGCCATCTCCTCGCTGGGGATGATGGGGGTGGTGGGGATGAGGGGCTCGGTGCACAGGGATGAAGGGCTGCTGCTAAAATCCCCGTGAGGGTCCAGGCTGGATAAATCACTCAAAGGCTGGGCGCAAGAGGATTTCTCAACGAATTGCTCTGCAAGGTTCGAGGGAAGGGAAATAAAATGAGAAGGGGGGGAAAGGGGGAGGGATTCAGCCCGGAGAAAAAAAAAATATGAAATAAAATAAACTAAACAAAGCTAACCAGACCCAAAAATCAGTTGTGGTTGAGCTGCCCCCCTCTCTGGTCCAGCACCCCCGCCTGTGTCAGAGGCGTCAGCTCAGCCTTTGAGCAGGGCTGGTGATTTTTGGAGATTAGCTCCGGGAGGAGCCCGGCGCCTCTTCCCGAAGCCTCCCGGGGAGAGATGCCCGGAGGAGAGGAGAAGCCAGGAGGGAGAGGGGCTGCGGGGGCTCCGGGACCGAGGAACGAGAGCGCACAAACGTTCCCTGCCCCTAGAGCAAGGGGGGAAGATTTCACCCCAATCTTCCGTGAATAAAAGCTGAATTACAGGCAATCGCTTCCCCTTCGATTTCTCATTGAACGATGCGGAGTAAGGAGTTTAAAAAGATTAATAAAATTGAAAAATTAATTGGAAATAATTTATTGAACAAGCGTTTTCGGGGAAAAAAAAATAAAAAGCATGAAAAACAGCTACGTTTAACACGAGAGAGTGCAAATATGTCAAACGGGAACACTACAACATTCCCGGCCTAGCTTATCGCCTAGACTGAAAAATAAAGTTTACAATGACTCCCTGGACTATGTGAAATCTGTTGAGTCTGTTGGTTAGATGGAGCAGACGCCGAGAGAGCTGTCTTTACTAAATTCCTGTAAAATTCAATATAATTTTGTTCGCTGACGCCCTGAAAACGTAACAAACACTCAATATTTCAATATTTTTTTTTTCCCCAGTTTTCAGCGAACTCTCGGATACACGCAAGGACCACTAGCCGCAGAAATTCGGGGGAGGAGAGAAAGATGCTAATGGTTTTTAAAAGCCTTCGGGAATCTAACTCGAAGCGACCGACCCAGAAGTGAAATCGCTTACCCCAAAATGACGAGGATTTACTATAAAAATCCTCCCCATAAAACAGTCTATATGAGCGCCCATGGAGTAGCCGTGGAGCGAAGGGAGCGAAGGGGTTTTTCGGGTCTACGTACAAGTTTTACTACCCCTTGTAAGGGATACCGGAGAGTCTCTAATTTGACCTCAAAACCGTAGATGATTCGCGGTAAATATTTGAGAGTTTCATTTCACAGCAGCGAGGAGAAACGTTAATTATCACAAGGTGAGAGATTATTCTAGGAATGGCGAAGCTGGATAAATAAAGCTTAAAATTTAGAAAATTCTTCATGCTGTGAGCAACCCCGGTAGGTGAGGAGAAGACCTCCCTGGCTTTGATGGGGTGGCTTTTCCTTCTGCAGGGGACAACCCGCCGGTGCCCGACCTGGCTGCCGGGATTTGGAGGCGGCTGAGCCCGAGGACGGACGGACAAACAGACGGGAGCTCCGCGCCCCACGGCCGCCCCCATCCCCACTCACCCAGGGGCTTGATGGTGCTCTCGGGGGACTCCTTGTCCTTCGAGCTGCCGCTGGACATCAGGGCGGCGATGGAGAAAGCGTTGGCCCGGGAGGAGAGCTGAGGTTTGGCGGGGGGCGGCGTGTACTCCATGGCCAAACGGCGGGGGAGCGGCTCGGCTCGGCGGGGGCACCGGGAAGGGCTCCGTGCCCGGGGTGGGAGCACCGGGAGGCACCGGGAAAGGCTCCGTGCTCGGGTGGGAGCACCGGGAAACACGGGGAAGGGCTCCGCGCCCGAGATGGCAGCACCGGGAGGCACCGGGAAG